ATTTGTTCCAATGCCATATAGATCTCCTGAGTAGCTCAATGTTAAATAGTCAAAACCGTTTATATGATCCTGCGACATGTTTTTATTATTTAATTAATATTCAACTTATATATTTGAAGTTTTTATGCCAATTCGCAATTAATACAATGGGTTGTGATATTTAAATGCCATGGGAAAGCGAATGTAAGACGAGTATCAAATGAATATAAAATGCCGAAGTTGCAATTTTCTCTCGTATTCTTGTTAGATAATCAGTAGTTTAACACCGGAGCTACATTAGCTACATATACATTAGCTACGGCATTTTCTAATTCAAACGAATTGGCCAATGAAAGTTCGGCTTTTCTACATGTGATGAATTTTGAAGGTTATGATTGGCTGACTTCAATATGAGTCAGGCAAAAGAAGCGGGAGCACTTGAAGCTTCGGAAATTTCCAAAAACGCAAAATCGAAAAAAATGTAGGTCCGGCATTTTATAGTGAGACCATCGGTATATTATATATCAGTTTACATACAATTCAGATATTCAGAACGATTTAACATTACGTTGTGGGGTTTATGTAACTTAAGTTTTAATGCTGGATAACAGAACGCACATATTTTACAGTAAATTCACAAACAAGAGTGAAATGTTCGTAAACAGGATAGGAATATCAATACCGATAATTGTGATGTCTTTAAAGAAAAAAAAGACATCTTAATATATAAAATTCATGTCCTAATAAACACAATAAATGCAAACTATATTAACGTTTCTAAATTTTACAATTGTGTGTGTGATAAAAGGACCTTTAACAATGACTGTCCATTCACTTAGATTGATAAAACTATATTGCTTACCTCAGATTCTTCATAATCACAGGTAGCCATGTCTGTCTGTTTGTCAATGGCAGTTCTTTCAAACTAAAATATATTAATCGATTTTTTTTTAATTTAGTTTATTTCAGACTTTGATACAATCGTCAATATGTTTTAAGAATATTACCTATATTAAAACATTTGTGAAGTTTCATGTCATTTAGCTTAGTAGATAAGGAAATAGTTACCGAAAATATTTATATAATTATATAAGTCACGATATCAACTTTTTAAAGATCAGCGCCAGATTAGGATAAATAAATGTAAAAAATGTATTCTCAATTGAATGTCATTTTCTCATAAGTGGCTATTTAAATCATTTTTATGGTTTTCACATAGAGACATGCTATAACCTCTGTGTCACTATTTGTAAAGAGACTATAAGTATAGCTATTATAATTGATCAACTCTGTAATTAATTTGAATGTATCAAAAAAAATATTATCAATTGAATATCATAATACGAATCGTAATAAACTATAAAAAATTGTATAGGAACATACACATTTTAAATGGTCGATCTTTATCACACAATCAGATTTAGTAGGACATTATGTTATAATTGAGAAAAAAAAATATAAGCCTACACTAGGTTATTTCCAAAATAATCTCGACACTTTTGATGTTTAGCCAGTGCAAGATATAATTTTGTAGATTAATGCAGATTTTGAAAGTCAGAAAACATTTAGTAGAAGCTTTTCAAGTTATTTGAACACAAGTTTAAAGCACTGTCTTACCTCTTAAGTAATCTAAACTCTTTTTTATCATTTTCAAACATTCCATTTTTTAACTATTTTGTCAGTTTTATACGTATTGTATTTATTTTAATTTGGAACCGTCCGTTGAAAAATTTAAGGATAATTATTTTAAAATAAAAACATAAAGGCCCATTGTTCCCCAGAAATGATTTTATTTTGGTTCCTAAAACATTTTCTTTTTTGGTGTCCTGTTATAGCTTAAAAATAGTTACTCATTGGCCAATCACCCGAATATAGGGAAAAAAACAACATTCGTTTCTAAGGCTAAATGTGGCTTTAAGTTGCGGATTATATTGAGCCTGGAAAGACCCCAAATTTCGGTTCCAACTGATCAAGTATTAATCTAGATATTTCCTATATTGATCAATTGTTTTGATCTAATTGTAAACAAAAGGTACCTTATATTCTCAAAAGAAATTTTTCGCTTATCATAAACTTCGAGTCAATTTTTCTTTACACGCGTAACTTAAGTGGTTGACTTTCAATATTTGGGTAATTATTATTTTCTGTAAAACTTGCCACATAATACATTATTATTATAATTATTATTATTATTATTATTATTATTATTATTATTATTATTATTATTATTATTATTATTATTATTATTATTATTATTAGTTTCATCATCTTTACCATATATTTTTTCATTTTCATTAAAGTTATATGAATTATCATAATCATTATTCTTATGATTATTATTATTTTATTCTTTTTCTTATTATTATTATAATAGTTATCATTTTTTATAATTATTATTATCATTATGATTGTGATAATTATCATTATTATTATTATTATCATTATAATTATTATTATTATTATTATTTATTATTTAATGAATAATCCGGTTTCAATACCTTGTACAATCATAATGTATAAGTAAAAGTGTTTCGTATATAATTAAATTGAATTTTATTTTTGACACATATGATGTAAGTAAATCATATTGTTTTTATTAAATATAAGATAGATTTATTAAATATAATAACAACATAACTTCTTACCTCAAGTTTTATTCTATTCTAACTGCTACAGTCACTTAATGAGCGAATTTATTGTTCAAACATTCCACTCTAAAAAAATAATTTATTTAAAGGTAAATAATTGGTGTATAGTATCTATAATCGATACTAATTTTAACTATTGGAAAATGTTTGCAAAAAGACTTGACCTTGCTTCAGTGTGTTATTTCTAATTCAAGTTGCAATGATATAGAATAATAATATCTTTATTATTAAAGTTAAATTTTTGTATAACAAATAGGAAGACATGCTATTAACTGAATATGATTATGTTGATATAACGTTATTTTTCGATACATTTTAAAAGGATTCATTTGATAATATAATTGTATGTTTCTACTTTGTATTGACAACGTTTTATCTACCAAATTATGACTAACGTGAATAAAACGTCATTAGATGACTTATTTTCCTAATATAGATTTTATAAAGATTGTTCAGTTTATAATGTAAAATATCCGTTTATAATATCGTTAGATAGATATCCGATAAGAAAACAAAACTGTGGTTTTACTATATCACACAATGATAGCCGCAAAGTACATGTAATAGTAACTTTTGAAAAGATCACGAGCATCATCAATTCATTTCCACTGGTTAAAATTTTCTCTTAAGATAAGATAAGATAAGATAAGATAATCTTTATTTATAGTCGGTTTCATAAAAACATATAAACATTAGTTTTTATGAAACCGACTATAAATAAAGATTATATTTGTATTATCAAGTAATGGCTTGTCGTTGTATGTGTGTTGTTTAAATTTATTTATTTATTTATTTCTACTTTATTTATTATTTATTTATTTATTTATTTATTTATTTATTTATTTATTTATTTATTCATTCATTCCTTTCATTCATTCATTTTATTTGATCTATTTATTTTATTTGATCTATTTATTTATTTATTTATTTATTATAGCTTTATAGTTATCGTTATGATCAGATAAGATCAATTTACTTTCAGAAAGGACAACACATACATTACACACAAAAAGATATGCTATTTCCCTCCTTTGTCACCACAACTAATATGAGACTTATCTATTAAGATTTATAAGGTGAAGGAAATTTCTAAAAAGGGTGTAATTCAAAGTTGTATATAAGTCATGATATTAATAGCCTGGGTCACAATTAAGAAATATAACTATTCCTCAAGGTAATAAAGGTATGGGATGGGACAAACCCCTCTAAAAGATAAATATATCAAGGCGTATGAATATTTTAAGACATACGCATGTAGAAATACTATTGATTAAGAAGTTTTGGTAACAAGACAGAAACATGCCTAAGATAGATATGATTAAAATAATGAGACTTGAAAATCAATCTTTTTTATACTGAAAAATTAAAATATAGTATTTGATGCAATTTAGAAGCATGACATGATCTATTTTTTGTTCAGCAAATGAAGGAATGAGAGATTGTTTTTACTAATTAAGTCTTCATTAATGCGTATAAAGCTATAATTAATAGTTGCAAAACTATTGTTTGAATTTTAAAAAGAGTACTTTCAAAAAGCTTGTATGAAAGAAATGTGGTAGTAAATTACCTTAAAAGCGAATGGCACATTTACGAAATCATGAATGATTACTTACCGGATAAATCTCTACTTTAAATTGCAGAATAATATTTTGTTCTGTAACATTCTGTTTACACACACTTTTCATGTGTGTTAAATAACGAGACACTCTATGTTCCTTGATATGATATTGTAAATAAGGTGTATTGATTGGTGACAGTTTTAATCTTGATAAAATGCTAACCATGTTTATTTAAACATGTTTATTAAAACCAAAGATCGCCGCGTAGGAAAATATAGGTACTAAAAGAGTCTGTATTATAAGGTAAGTTCAACAAATACTTTTGAACATTTATGTTCATGTTATACAAAACTTAAATAACTAAATACTGGTTTTGAAAGAAAGTAAAATTATTTTTCTGTTTAATAGCATAACACATATCATGATTTAAGAACAGCAACTTTTTTGAAATGAAAACATAATTACTCGTATCTAAATGAAATTGTTTATGTTTAAGACAGATTGATACACTATTTTCATACCATAACAGGAGTAAACCAACCGCTGTGAAACAGTAGGAATCGTTCTTATAAAAGTGCAGCGACTCGAATAGATGAATAGATGAATCACTTTCGCTATCAAGAACATGCCGCTTGACAAGACTGCATTAAGTGAATTTGTCTTTTTGGTATTCAAAGGCAGAGCGTTTTACTCCTCAGAAAATATAACAAGATCATATCATATCAATGAATTTGCAACAAAATTACACTCTTTACTTTGTTTTGCTACATTTCCCAGTTTGCAATATTTATAATTTTTCCTCCACATCACATTTTTAATATGGCTTCCAATCAGGTCTCTCTTTATACATAGAATTTTGAGGCGTTGGTCCAGCAATAGGAGGGAGTGGAAGCTTATTTTGTTCGGATTGTTGTCTTGTCTCAGTCTCTTTCTTTTGACTCTGCATTTGTTGGGCAAAAAGCTTTTGCATATTCTCAATCATATTTTTCTCCATTGCTTCCATCTTGTCAACTAATTTATTTTCCATTGCTTCCATATCATCTTTTTTAGCAAGACTCTCTATTTCTGAAGATAAATCTACATTTCTATTTGTGGCTGTGCTTATTTCTTTATCTTTTTCAGCTACTTTTTTTTCTAGTACTACAATTTGTTTTGCAAGTCTCCTAAGTTCTTCTTTGGAAGCTGACATTTCGCGTTTAAGCTTCTCATATTCAGTCCTGTATTTACTGTCTTTTCTTGACTGTTCTATTTTATCTCGCAATTCCTTTTCAATTTTCCTTAGTGATTCTATAGTAAATTTCATTCTTTTAATCTCATCCTCTAGTGAAAGAATGTCCAGTGATTTCGTAGACATACGTGCTAACGTTTTTTCGTGTATCTTTTTAAAATGGTCATTTACCCTTTTATGATTTCGGATCAGGTTCATCTTTTCAGCATTGAAATCAGTCATCTGTTCGTTTATTTTCTGCCGCAAGGTTTTAATCTTTTCGGAGAGATTTCTATTCTTGGTTTTTATTGCGATTAACTCATCAGTTTCCTTATTTGCTTCTTCACTTGCTGTACTGTAATAAGTATTTTTCTCGGGTGTTTGTGGTGAAGTTACTGACATAAAACCAGAATCCTGCAAAATGAGTAAAAATGCAGGCATTAGTAAACTGGTATATCGACTTTAACTTTGAGATATGTAATTTTGTAAAAATCAAAACTTTTAAATTAAATGCAGGCAAACAATTGTAAGTGAACCAAAAATTGATGAATATGTTGATAAAAATAAATACACATCAGAACACATATTCTTCTTATAGATCAAGACACTGTTTACCTCTGAATCGTTTTGTCCTTTAGTAGCCATTATTGATGATTGCAGGTGTGAAATACAGTCTCCGTTAAACTGTTATCTGAAAAATGCAAAATTATTTTGTTATGTATGTATATAATGTAGATAATAATTTATGGGTAAATAATGGTATAACAGTTTTATCTTTGGTAAAGATGACTGACTACAAAAGAACACATCACTACGCATTCGTCCACTACCCTTTACACGAGAGAGGTCCGATAAATGACAGTGGAGACAAAGGGTCAGTCAGATAGGCAGATAATGTTTTTATGGTCAAATATTGAAACTAGCTGATAAACAACCAAACTACTGTGTTTTTAGTTTTTTCAATTGAGCAAACACGTCACACTCCTGAATAATAACGATTCCAGTTTTATTTTTATTACAGGTGATTTACTAAACTGATTAATAGGTAGCCGATTTGCCAAAGTAATTGTCTTACAAATTATTTGAAATTCTGAAATCCTGTTAAACGAAAAATATCAAATTCCAATTGAAATATCAGATGTATCATATGAACGATTTATGAACGCTCAATACTAATGGTTGGATGCTACGTAATCGCGCACCTGCAAAATGCTCCCAATAGGACAGTTTTGTTGTTGTTATTGTTTTTAAAACATCCGTCAACTCGAATGTAAAACGTTAAGATATCCCAAATCTACTGTTGCTAAATATTGACTTTCGTACTTGATATAATTAAAAAAAAAACATTTAAAGTCCTAAAAGAGTGTATGACATCTCGACCCCTTGACACCTTGACACCTCGACCCGTAAGATATCTCGACCCATGACACTTAGACCCCTAAGACACTTAGACCACTTAAATTTACTGGACATTTCGACCCCTTATTCTATAATGTACTTAAAGATGTTAGCTTAGAAAAACATAATGTGCATCAAGACGTAAATATAGTAAAAAAGTAATTTTGATTACAAGTTTGATTTTTTTATATATAATCTAATAGAGAAACTAAATGATAAGTGAAATCATATAAAACCATTATTTGTTATACAAAATAATTCATAAAGTCAAGTATTTTATGTAAAGAATAGAAACACACGCACTACATTTAAACAGGAAGTATATATACATGTTTTATGTAATAATGTATACATAATATCATAAATAACAGTAATTGCAATAGAAATAGTAAACGTTATTTGCTAATTTATAAATATATATCAGTCGTTTGGTAATTCACCTTTTTCTAAGCAAATATTGTCATTATTTCCATGTGCATTTTTTTGTTAATTTCTTTAAATCGAACAACTAATATCAGAAAAAATCTAAGGCTTTTTGGTTCTTTAAATACTATATTTTAATGAAAATGTGTACGTGTGTTGTTATGCATGAAATAAAAATATTTTTTCTAGGACGTTAGTATGGAATAAATTAAATATCAATAACTTTTTAATCATTAATAAAGCATAATGAATACGAAAAGTAACAAAAAAACTTCCGAAAGTTGACTCAAGTCAATATTGCCAAAAACAAATAAGTTCTGTTAAAATCTAAAAAAAAAATATGTCCTTATCTGGCAATGAAGTCACAAGCAAAATCATAATATCACTAATACCAGTACAGTATTAATGTACCAACAATTAATTTTTCATATGACATTTGTGTTCGATACATTTTAATATAATGATATTACATACATGTTATGAATGTATCAATGCTTACGCTCTTATCATGTCTGTATGCCTATGAATATGTAATATGTTTATATATTTTAATAAAGTGAATGTTACATATAACAATTTCTTTCCCAATCAGAAAATCCTGTTTAAATGAAATGCAGCTTCTGTATATTTAGCATAACAACAACAATTTGGTAATTGGCAGAATGTTTATCACAGGTGTTAATTACCGATAATTTAATTACCAATGACACCTGGATGATGTTTATTGGGCACGCCTTTTTACACCATTAATATAATGTGATTAAGAGGAACATGTATTGACTCTAAGATTTTAAATAATTTTCTTAACTTGTTATTGTCGAAAATATTGCATTTGAAGCTTATTTTGTTATGTTATTGCGATTCGATACTTATAAACACTGGTTTATCACGTTACTGTATTATAAACATGTAAATGTATCAATTTTGTAAATATGTTATGATGATGGACTTTTGGTACAAATCTAATAAAATAAATGTTCTGTTCTGTAAAATAATTAATTGCCAATATAACATACATGTGTTTGTCACAGAAAAATAAACTAAATCGTTATTAACTTGTAGAAATTGTAGATATGAATTAATACACAATACACAAACCGCGCATTTTCATTATTATCATTATCATAATTTCTTCACTTTAAGTCTGGGTGTCTTATTTGAAACATCATGCCTATCTGTTATTCTAAAGTGCAAAAATTGAGATAGGGGTCGAAATGTCTTACCCACTTGGGTCGAAAAGTCATATTAAAAGGGGTTTAAGTGCCAAGGGGTCTAGAAGTCATCTTAATATCGTAAGGGGTTGAGAAGTCAAGGGGTCTAAATGTCTTACTTGCCCTGAAAACGGGATAAAGGTCCTCAACGCTCTCACTCGGACTCTCAAACATAGTTTATCATGTTTTCAGGCTAAAATTGGAGAGTAAAACCTTTTGATATTCTTACGATTTCTTAGAATAAGAAAATATTTTATCCTCGAGCCGACAAATAAACTGTCCGATTGGAAGCATTTTGCAAATTCGTGACGACATAGTTTGCTACCATTAAATTCAACATTTGATCATAACAAATCCATGTTGAAAAAATAAACTGAATAAAAAATATAATATATTTACATTTGATTAATAACGTAAATCTTTCTGTCAATAGTGTTTGAATGTAAGTAGGCCTATTAATAAAATTATATACTTAAGTATTGTCAATTTTATAGGTAAAATATGCTTACCATATTATTGCGTAAACTATTTAATTTGAATACGGAATACTTTGAACAGATTTCTTCTACAGAATAAGCACCTCAGATAAACTTACTGTCTAATATCATAAGAAGGAGTAAAAAGCAAAAAATGGTTGAGCTATTCGGTCACCGAGTAACAATTTTTGGAAAATATAACATGACACCTAAATAAAAGCCTTTATAGGAATAAAAAAGGAAAGCCGCTCTTGGAGGCATAATGTTCCTTTCAAGAAATGAAACACCGACAAACTTCCTGTATGTCATTATTAGGGACAATTATAATATCATAGCCCCAAAATTATAATGATTATTAAATCGGTTAGTATTTATCTCAAATGACCCTGATGACATATGACAAAATATTTTTTACCAGTTTAAGACTAAATATTAAATGACTGTTTAATAAACTTAAAAAATAATTTCTGTTTAGTTCAAGGTGAATTTTAAATAATTTATGGTTATAAATGACTGCATGTTCTTTTCAAAATCCAGAAGTTTTTGTTATTTCGGCTGAGAAGCAGTCGAGTCTTACATGATTATGAATAATGATAAAACATGATTTACGGTGAATGACACAGTGTCAATTTAAACACAAACACATAAAATCTTTCACATACACTTCACACTTTACACTTCATGGCCAATTTTGAATTTCTGACTTTGTTGCAAAACATTTGTATTTACATTTTCATCAAATGGAAAGGCAATATATTTTTATCTACGGATACAAATAATGGACTGTGCAACTGTCTGTAGTTTATTGAGATGTAATATCGTGGAACCAGGCTAAAATTAAATCATGGATAAAAACGTTGTCTCCACGTAAAGGAGAACTGTCTCGTATTTGGACAAAACATCAGTATAAGAGCTGCGAGTGTCATAAAACATCTGAATTTTTCAATATATCCGTTTCTTGTTTTAGAAACTAGGTAACAACATAGATTTGAAGAACTTTAACTTTAAAAAGTTGAATGTTTTGAATTTTTTATTAAGATGATTTGGATAGTGCTGTGCGGACATAGTTCTGGTTTCAAAAACTTCAAATGCCGCCTTTTATATAGTAAAAGATATCACATTTGTGCTGTTTTATTTTGAAAACACCTCAATTAGCGGCGGCGCGGGGCGAAAAGTCGAGCTTTTTTAGAATTATTTGGCGGGACCACGGACAAAAGCATGCTAATTAGCGCCCTATAATAATACACATTTCGCTTCGCAGCCTCGCCATTTTATAATTAAATCTTGATTTTTCGCTACTCAGCCCCGCAAATTTAACTTGTTTATTCTCGACTTTTCGTTTGGCGGCTTTGCGAAGCGAAAACATAAAATGGCACAAATCAGTCACCATACAATTGCAATTTCCCAGGCTCATATTTTATAACTCGTTCATTATTTTTTCTATGTTTTATTCTCCATGATATTGACATTATGCTCGTGCAATAAAAAAAATTACACTATTTCGTCGCATCTTATTCGCATCTGATTTTATACCAAACGACATGGGATTAAGTATTTTTATATATATTCTAAGTTAAATTAAAATATTACCTCTGCACGAACAGTTGCCTTCTTATGCCGACACTTAATGATATTTATAATTTTTTAAAGCACGTTTGACATAGTTCTTGTATTCAAAATAATCGATTTGATAATGAATATGCATTCACAATCTATATGCGAGATCTTTATTGTGGATGGTATGTATTCATAAAAACCGTTATTTTATTCAGTTTTTCATATCGGCCTAGAGAGATTTTTTTGCATCTGCAGTGTTGTGGCAAAACGCTAAAAATGATCAATTTCCTAAATACTTTTACACGAATAACATTTTAATTCACATTCTGGTTCATAACTGATGTCTTTTGATACACTAATAATAAAAACAATAAGAACAAAAAGAAACAAAATTTTAAATACCGAATATTTAATGACATATTTATATACGTACATGTAGTTAGACATTTAAAGTGACATGTTTATGTATATTGTACAATGAATAAACAAAAAACATAATTTTCGTCCAAGGCATTTATAAACAATTCAAGTGACTAGAACCATAATAAAAATTACGAAACAATCAATTTTTTTTAAACTT